CCCAGTGCTGAAAGCATCCTTATTATTCTGAGTACTCATTGAAGAACCTGGTGCCAGTACAGATTCATATTGTGCTGTTAAGTTTTCATCAATGGATTGACCGATGATTCTCCACTCTATTAGAATCTTGATGGAATTTGCATGCAATGGACTGTTTTCGTGCCATCTTAAGTCTGTCATGGTATGCTTTCAATCAGCATATCCCATCATAATTAAATACACAGTTTCATGTATTGTTATGAATAATTTACAGTGAGCTCAATATAATTTGCCGGTTGTTGGTGAATAGTAAAGCCAGTCTCTTCTAACTTTCTTAACTGAAAAAAATAGTCATTTAGTACAACGTCTCTTGAAAAGATTCTCTTGGAAACACCTTCTATGAAGCACTAATATCACTGTCGGTATGTTGACAGTTGGTAACACCATTTTGACTATAATATTCTCACAAAGATTCAGAAACTTCCCACTATTCTAAATCATTAGTGAAGTGTTTCTTTGTGTTCATCATCAGAAATTTTCATTTCAGCATTCGATGTTCTAGCACTACTCACTTCCAAAGCTTTGTTGTTCACCGAGTTTTCACTTTCAGTTCTAGGCACCTCCATATAATCCTCATGCACATCTGTTTTTTAAGTGGACAAAACTCTTTTATTTGTTTTTAATACTTTTTTCAGTTTTGTGTCCTCTTCTTTTTTTGGCTTTTGATTTCTCCCAACCACTGTGGTACCTTTTCATACTGTGAGCAGTGAATCAAGTTTGTTTTTAGGATAGTGGGCTTATTTTTTGTGTGGGCCTGGAGCTATAGCTCCACCAATCCCCCACCTTAATCCGACTCTGCATATTTTACAATAATAGTTCTCCTGAAGAAGAATAGTCAACTATTTGAAAGTGCTCGAGTTTTTAGTCTTGTTTTAAGTTTATTACACTTTATATGTGATCCTTTGTGCTAACTCTCTTAACAAGATTACAATAATGTCACATATTAATGATCAGTTTTCTGTTTTTGAATCAGGTAATTAATTTTGAACTAGTTTATTTTCAGATTCAAAAGAACTTAGTAAAACTTCAAACATATAAAAGCAAGAGTTTTTAACTAAAAGATTGATGCTGGTTGTTAAATCCCAACTTGAAATAAATTGTTTTCACTCTCCTAAACAGGATAAAGACAATCTTATTAAGCCTGTTCATTTGTTGTTCTGTATATTTGCCCCCACCTATGATTTTTATGCATTACAGATTGTTAGCTAGGCTTAGGTATTTGCTACATATTATAAGAAGCTAAGAGTTAAATTAAAGAAAAACTTATAACAATATGTTAACCACTCTACATATGCCATATCCATTGCTGATGAGGCCTTTTATCTAATATTGGCCATCATCAGGACAGTTGGGATACAACAGATAGCAGGGTCCAAATGCTGTTTGTGTTAGTAATTGTTGGAAGAACAAATGTGACGTAGATAACATTGGTAAAATCACATCTTGGCTGTTTACGTGATGAGTCTTGATTATAATACACTGTTTTTATATATAGTGCTTCATGGTGTAAATAATGCTCCATTTTTTTTAATGTAATTATTGTAACATCTACTTACTGGTACTTATGCATGGTGTCTTATGTAACACAAGTACATATGTAACAAGTATCTTTGAATTACAGAGTGTTTGGTTTGAAGGAGGAATATGCTGACTGTCTCTTCCTGTGTCGCCATTGTCGCTGTTTGTTCTGGAAGGTGAGGTGTATACTTTTGTTAACAAAAGTTACCTGTTTGGTCATTGGGTATTAGAAGCATTAGTACTTGTACCAAAATCATGTAGTTTTAAAGGAAATAATGTATAACTTTAAACTAAAATGTACTCTTGGTCAACTGATCTTTTTAAAGTTTGCACAATGGAGGGATACGGTTAGATTATAATACATTTTCAGAGTTTTAAATAGAGATATTATTTTCAATACCAAATATTTTAGTGGTTAACTTTGGTAATTGGCTCACAGAAACGAACTGTTCAGCAGTTTGTTTCGGTTGAACATTCTACACTTTATTTACTACAGGTTTAAAATTTCTTCTAAATATGTGGCTAAGTAACGGATATTTGTATTTATTGCAAAGTAATAAGGTCAACCCTAATTTTGACCTACTGACCAGTGGGAAAGCAGATGGTTTACACCATCTTACCACCCATGATCCACATTAAAGAATTCACTGCATATCACTTTTATAATGCATTTACAGTGTGTGCGATGATTCGTCCTAGTGCAACAAATTTCACTATTCAAGCACTAGTCATCTACATCTGACTTACCTCGATCACTGTTCAAGCACTAGTCATCTACATCTGACTTAGCTAAATCACTGTTCAAGCACTAGTCATCTACATCTGACTTAGCTAGATCACTGTTCAAGCACTAGTCATCTACATCTGACTTAGCTAGATCACTGTTCAAGCACTAGTCATCTACATCTGACTTAGCTAGATCACTGTTCAAGCACTAGTCATCTACATCTGACTTAGCTAGATCACTGTTCAAGCACTAGTCATCTACACCTGACTTAGCTAGATCACTGTTCAAGCACTAGTCATCTACACCTGACTTGGCTAGATCACTGTTCAAGCACTAGTCATCTACATCTGACTTGGCTAGATCACTGTTCAAGCACTAGTCATCTAAATTTGACTTGGCTAGATCACTGTTCAAGCACTAGTCATCTATCTAATAAAGTAATAAAGATAAAACATTGAGCACTTGATCTAAATCAGAAAGATGAAGAGTTAATATATTCAAACCTGATAAAGCAGTGTGTAATGGAACATTGAACACTTGACCTAAATCATGAAGATAAAGAGTTAAAGTTATAAAACAAAGTAGAATGGAACTTACAGCCCTGCTATCATTACATGAAACAAGAAAGTCATGAGCATTATTTCAATCTTAACATCTGAAAGCATTACTAATGATAGAAAAATGGTTAAATGGTGAATTCCCTTAAACTAATTACAAGGATCTCTGTGGTCCATACATAACTGCCATGCTCAACTTTACGTAATAGGTTTTCAACAGGAACGAACCATGATGATGAGCTCAGTAGAATAATTCTATGGCTGTCTCTGTGTGTACAATTATTTCTTAGTACATATTCTTAAATTTGATGTTTTATGCACCTATAGATTAATAAAATGTCGCTGCAACTGGAATATATCTGGTTTAATATTTACTTCTGACTATGGAAATACCAATATCGTGAGTAGAGTACACCTGAGGATTTGTTAGACTTTTTGTCACTGCTATAAACCTAACAGTAGGTTTTAGGTTTCATTTCTTGTCAGATTGTAAACATACTCTATCTCTAATTTTAAGCCTTTTAAGTGAGGGATGGATCCAGATTGTTGAGCTCAAGTATTTATTTTGATTTTGTTGTCTTGACTTAATATATGTTACTAACTTTTTACATTTTTGTGTTGTAGTCATTTGGCCATCCATGTGTGGACACTACACCTCAACAGCCAAATGAAGAAGAGGAGACAGTGGGAAATATGGAAGGACTGGAATATAAGGCCAGTGTTCCCGAGTGTATTCCGGTTCCACCCCAGGCTTTTCTTAAGTTCTTCTCTTTGTGACCCTGTGTTTTATCAACCTTGGATAGGTGATCTAGCCTGTGATTGAAATATCTGATATTCTCAGTGACTGATGTTTTTGACTTTCTTCTTCAGTTCCTCTGCTTATTATCTATAGGGCCTGCAGGCTGGGCCTTAATGTACATAGCATATCTGTAAACTTTAGCTCCCAGCCAAGGGTAGGATGGATATATTTCTTCATTGTTGTAGTCACAATGTGTTCTCAGAAAATGAAGTCTTTACTGTCAACTTCCACGTTAATACTTTTGTATAGTAATATTAATATTGTTTGTGTTTAGTGTGATGCAATACTCTAAATTTTCAGATTATTAAGGACAATAATTTAACCTGATATCGATTATACTGTTAAATTGATGCAAGAACTTAAACACTAAATAAGTAGTTTATTTACGTTGAAGTATGAAAATGTGATGCTTTTAGTAGGGATCTTGGTTTCTAAGAGTGGTAACACTTTACCTAGGATACCACGAAGATTAAGTAACACTTTACCTGGGATACCACGAAGATTAGGTAACACTTTACCTGGGATACCACGAAGATTAGGTAACACTTTACCTGGGATACCACGAAGATTAGGTAACACTTTACCTGGGATACCACGAAGATTAGGTAACACTTTACCTGGGATACCACGAAGATTAGGTAACACTTTACCTGGGATACCACGAAGATTAGGTAACACTTTACCTGGGATACCACGAAGATTAGGTAACACTTTACCTGGGATACCACGAAGATTAGGTAACACTTTACCTATGGTACGACAAAGGTTGGGCAACACTTTACCTATGGTACGACAAAGGTTGGGCAACACTTTACCTAGGATATCAAAAAGTTGGATAATGCTTTACTTAGGATGTTGCAAAGGTTGGATAACGATTTACCTATGATGTCACAAAGGTTAACAGGTACTGTTGCCTATCACTATTTACATTTTAACATAGTGTGACAGATTTCTTTATCTACCACTTTATCCACATTTTAACGTATCTTGATCTATGCTAGATCCTGCACAGTATAAAACAGTATCAAGAATTGTGCATTTATAAAGAACTGCAGAAATCTGAATTAATAATTTCAAACCGTGTTTTCAAATTCCCAATGACAGCTACTGTTCTCTGGTAATTTTCCTCTCTCTTGTTTCTAGTCTTTCTTTCATCATCTCTTAAAGTTGAAAGCAAGCATACATTTTGTGAGATAAGTATTACATTTGAGCAGTATTTTAGCATTGTTAGTTGCAATCGAAGTTGTTTGGTATTATTACTGCTTAATGAGTTGCATTTTTAGAATTTAGTTGTGACTAACGCCAGTGTTTGCTCTGAATGTAGTACAGTATTATTTGGATGTTAGTTTAGTTATCAGGTAATGTATAAATTGCTAGTCAAATTTGACTTTGAAAACAAGAGATGAAAGCAAAATATTTTGACAGGACTTCATATACGTCATCTTGCTGACATACGCAAGACAACTTGAATATTTGAGTAACGACATAGTTAATAGAGGGCTTCTTGTAACTAAAACTACTTTATTATGCACATTTTTATTTAAATATCATAACTGATGTTTTTAGTCTTTCTTTGAAATGTTGACAGCATTTTACGTGACTGTCTGATAGATCCTTTTGAAAAATTTTGATTACTCTTGTTTGCAACAACTAGAAACTTTGACCCCAATTCTTTCATTGCTAGAGTTAAAGATGAGATATTTGAACAGTAGCCTCTCTTGTATGATGAATGTTTTACTATTATTGTTTTCTTTAATCTTCTATATCCATTTTCTGGAATACAAAATGCCTAAAATAAAATGACATATAAATCATGACTTACATTAAGAACTTTTAGTTATGTTAATGATTCACTGTTATAAAGGTTACACATGCTTAGGAAGACTTGTTTACAGCTTTACACTCAAGAGAAACTTCTCAAATGTTTAGTTTGATATTTTATAGTTGTGCCTTGCAGTATTTTGATAATATATTTTGGTTATACTTTTAATCAAAAGTCAGTTACCAAAATTAGCTGATTAGTATTGTCCACATCTTAGTCAACATTGTTGTAATACGTTTATTAATAATACATTAGGTAGAGATATTGAGCATTTGTTGGTAGTCTTCTCAGCCAGATGTGTGTACACACTTTTTAGACATATCATGCGATTTATATATATTTCTTTTAATAATTAAAAACTGTACAGGTATTTGAATAGAATGCTCAAACTTAGAAATTCCCCACTTATTGTATTCAATAAATAACATAATTAATATAGTGTGAGTGAAAACAACATTTTCTCTGCAAAAGTTTGGATAAAAAATGAAAATCTTTTAACTTTTAACAGAGTATTTTATCTTCTAAATCTATCCTGGAGAATAATCTTCATTATTTTTGGATTTTAACTAATTTTTGCTTAAAATATATCCTGTCAATGTTAGATCTGATAGGATTTTTTTCAGAGAACAATTGTTAGATTCATTTGAATGGCATCACAGATTATTGTTAGTATGTAGTATAATTACGTGACAGCAAGCTTTTTTTCTCATTTTTATATATTATTTTATATTTGAAGGGGGTGTTTTTACTGTGATAACTGTTAATTGTCTAATATATTTGCTCGCTTCTCTATATTTGTTTTGTGATTATTGGCTTTACTGTAGTTTGGAAGCATTTCTGTAGATCAAGAAATATATTTGAAAAATTGTTTCAACAAACATGTGACTTAATTCCTTAATTTAGAAAGGCAACTAGCAGTATGCTGCAAAGTTGTGGATCTAAATATTACGTTATAACAGTTAATTAAGGTAGTTGTGTTTTTTTCTTTGTAATGTAACATTTAGTTAGGGTAGTTGTTGTGTTTTTTTCTCTGTGATGTAACATTTAGTTAGGGTAGTTGTTGGGTTTTTTCTCTGTGATGTAACATTTAGTTAGGGTACTTGTTGTGTTTTTTTCTCTGTGATGTAACATTTAGTTAGGGTAGTTGTTGTGTTTTTTTCTCTGTGTTGTAACATTTAGTTAGGGTAGTTGTGTTTTTTCTTTGTGTTAATAGCAGATGTATTACAACTGTAAATATTAATTTTTATTTTTTTTCTACTCTAAGATGATTGATTATTTCATCATAATATTAAGCCTAAAGACTGGTTGACTCGTATAGACTGTTACTTCTTTTTTGTTCTTTCACACAATATCAGATTTTGATTCCTTTTTATTAACTAAGATCTTATGTATCAAGCTGCTTTGGTTAAATTATCATGGAGAATTGATTACCAATAAAAAATTCAAAATGTGATTTTTTTCAGACATTTTGTGAGTCCAGCAGCTACTCTGTAGAGAACTGCATGTAATCCACATGAGTTTTTTAATAGTAATTTCCTTTTGGTTTAATTATAACCAGCAGATTTACAGATATTTTAATAAAGTGAAGATAAGCTGAGCTGTTAGCTTACTGTTGTTGTTGTTTTTGTAAATATGGGAAAATTGTGGACTGGATCTTACATATACTATGGAGCACTGTATGAAAAGAAATGTCACAATTTTGGATTTGATAAACAAGCTTTTTGTATATGTGTTGTTTTCCCAAGGAATAGTACTTTTTATTGGTGGGTTAGGTTGTGCTAAGAAATAAAGTTATATGTGACAATTTCTGTGTAATTATCATGTAGAAAAATCTATTGCTTAATAAAATATGTATTCAAAACTACATTTTAGTGTCTTCACTTTCTTGCTGTTATGGTTCATCTGAAACGTGTTAAGTTTGTTTCTAGAAGTCTAATGTAGAGACAAAATATCATATCTAGAGTATTTATGGTAAGGTTGTGGCTTTTAGTCTATACAATCATGTAAATCTCATTATTAATTAGTAAATGTGTATTTAACAATTAGATACTAATTGTTAACTAGTTTTTATTCTATGTTTTAGCTGTTAACCTGTCTGCTATTTTCAGGGAAGTCTCCAAAAATACTTATTTTTTTGTTTGGGTAGTGGCTTGGATTAAACTCTGTCATCTTGACAAAAGTCTGACTTTTTATCAAATTAACTGGGATTTCCCCCATTAGAGCTTGAATCAACTAACTATTTAAATATTTTTCAGAGGAGCATCCAGGTTCTATGCTAGGTTGAGCGAGTGTGTTATCAGTTGGACAGATGTAGAAGGCTTTTTCTTCTTGTGTATGATTCATATTCTATTATTTCAGTATTATTCCAATTTATTGTATGGTCTTCCTTGCATGATGAGGCTATTGCAAGTAAATCAGTATTGCCAAGTCTTGTATGTCTCCAAATTTTCTAACTTTTGTTTATCTTTCTTTCTTCTCTAGTTTATTGGTACCAACATTCACAGAGAATGGTATTTTCATCAGGTCTTAAGGCAGTGTGGTGTGATCAGTTGTGTTGTGGCTTCTTCAGTACTGTTCTTATTTTATGTTCTTTATATATTCTCTGTATCTCTTGAGAGAGATTTCTTGTATGTGTCTGTAATGTTCTTCCTGTTTATCTTCTTTATTTTGTTCTCATCTTATTGTGACAACTTTGAGCTATGCCTTATGTCCACTCTTTCTGTGTAACAAATTAGACATTGAAAATAACTTTCCAGAATAAAATGAAACTGGCAATATTTCTTATGTTTGTATTAGCCCTAAAAAGATGAGTAGAGAAGCCAAGGAAAATTATGTTTGAGACAAAAACTTGTAACTAGTAACAACCAAATAATAAATGATTGGACTTACATCCTCATATGGGCTATTAAGCAAGACAAAGATTGTTAAAGAAATTAAATATGTTGAAGGCATAACTATTGTTTGTGTGTTTTGTAAGATTCAGTAGTGTTGAAAGGTATGAAAGTATGCTAAATATTGTTAAAGAGGTGTGTGTTTTACATGACTTCTCATAGGGTACAATATTATTAAAGACGTGTGTTGAAGGTGCAAGTTTTACATGACTTCTCATAAGATACAATATTGTTAAAATGGTGTGTGTTTTACATGACCTCTCTCAAGGTGCAATATTGTTAAAGAGGTGTGTGTGTTTTACATGACCTCTCTCAAGGTGCAATATTGTTAAAAGGGTGTGTGTGTGTTTTACATGACTTCTCTTAAGGTATAGTATTGCTAAAAAGATGTATGTTTTACATGACTTCTCATAAGGTACAATATTGTTAAAAAGGTGTGTGTTTTACATGACTTCTCTCAAGGTACAATATTGTTAAAAAGGTGTGTGTTTTACATGACTTCTCTCAAGGTACAATATTGTTAAAAATGGTGCGAGTTTTACATGACTTCTCTCAAGGTACAATATTGTTAAAAAGGTGTGTGTGTGTTTTACATGACCTCTCATAAGGTACAATATTGTTAAAGAGGTGTGTGTTTTACATGACTTCTCATAAGGTACAATATTGTTAAAAAGGTGTGTTTTACATGACTTCTCTCAAGGTACAATATTGTTTAAAAGGTGTGTGTGTGTTTTACATGATCTCTCTTAAGGTATAATACTGTTAAAAAGGTGTGTGTTTTACATGACTTCTCATAAGGTACAATATTGTTAAAAAGGTGTGTTGGAGGTGCAAGTTTTACATGACTTATTAAGGTACAATATTATTGAAAACGTTGGTGTAGTGACTTAAACAATATTGTGTATAAACACTTGAAACAAATCTTATACACTTTCAAATATGTAACATGTGAATGTAGCACAAAAAATGTGAGTAAAAGAATTTAAAAAATATAACAGAAAACTAATAATATAAAAGTCTGTTTTTAATCGGTTTCAACTTTGTGAAGGGAATAACGTGACCTAAACTGAGATGATGATGATGATAATATTAGCATATATTGATAATCCAGCTTTTATATTTTAAGGAGTAGCATATACATTTATCAATAACAAAACCATCAGTAAAGCTATTAAACCAAAACTTAATATGTGCATGAATTGAACGGCTTAGATAGTACGGGTTTTATAGTGTACAAACCTAACTACCTAGATCTGTGAGAAACAGTTCTATTGGTACTTGTAGGGTTAGGTGATGGTACTGACTTCATTAGGTCCATGGAACAAAATTACATTTGGACCATTAACCACTGTTAGTGGGTCCTCAAGACGAAGGGGCTTGTGGATTTGATCTAAGCGCAAGAAAACTACACGATGGGCTATCTGTGCTCTGCCAAACAAATGTATCGAAACTTGATTTTTAGCATTATAAGCCCTCAGATTTACTGCTGAGCCGCTGAGGGGCGAAGTAACATGAAAAGGCGGGGTTATGTCCTATATAAAACAAATTACTTAGTTTGAATTATACAAAACGTTTATAATTTCATACATATTAAAATAGAAACATGGGTATATATCATATTTCACTTATTTAAATGCTTTATCGAATAAATAACTATTTAAGTGAAATTATAAAGTACGAAGTCGACCATAACAATAACTAATATCTTGTCTGAAAGTTTCCTATGAAAAGAAAACAAAGTTCATAATGACGTAATTGTGGATTGGGATAAGTTATTAAGGAGCCTATTAATGAGAGTCATGTCCAGAACGGTCAATCTTAGGCCTCGGATGGTTCGCCGATTCAGAATTTTTGCCACTCTGGATAGATGATCTCAACATCAACACTCTAGTGGCACTCATTGGAACTATTCGCATCTGACAACATAGACCTCGGGACTATGACGTCATATGTCACGTGCCCCCGGCCCCAAATGATTCCCTTGAAGCCGTTAAAAATATGATTGATAATATTCCTGAATTACTTTTAACATCAATAGACAAATTAAATACAAATCCGAGTAGGTTTAGGAGCAAAGCATATCTAAGTTTATTTTCAGACGTTGTTTCATTAAGCATTTTATTATCAAATCAAAAGAAAAAATATCAGCTAAGAGGCACAAAAAATATAGTGCGCATGTGTTTAAAATCTGTACATGTTTTTATGAAATTTCTTGTAACAAATGGTTCCAATTTGATGAATGTTACCATAAATTGAATCCAGTTTTCCATTCTCTTAGCGACTAGTTATTAACCATAAAAAAAACAAAAAACATCAGAAGGTTTTTGTTTGTAGAAGACTGGAAAAGGGGACTACTAAATTAACGGCTGTTGAATGTTATTGTGGAAGGTGACTTCAGGTTCGAGAATTGAGCGCCTGACTGCTATAGGGTACTAGCTTGTTCGTGTTTCTTCCTGAATTTGTAAACACTAGTGATTTAAATCATGAAAAATAAGTTCAAAAATGTGCCACCGAGGGCTTTCGTTTTCTACCATCTTGAAATAGACTAGATATATTTACAGGAGTTGGACAAAGTAATGGAAACGCCTCACTGTTTAACTCCATGATTCGGTATGTCTAAATAGGGAAGAAAGGTAGCCATAGAACATTTAACTGAGCATTAAATTATTATATTTCTTTTAATTTGTCTGTTTACCATTAGTTTTATTTTGTTGTGTTTTTTTTTCGAGAAAACTTCGGAAACTTTCCAATTTAAAAGGCCTATGAGGTTTCCAAAGAAGTATGTTTGTAGGTGAATGTCCAGCTGGATTCTCTGTGATAGTGTTGCGTCAGCGGAGGTCACGTGACTAGTTATCACGCCACGTCCTTCTCGAACATTCACGTCCCTTCCTTAAATCTCGGGATCCTTCTAGATATAGTGTAGTCTTGTATATATAAACCAGTAAGAACTGAGGCGAGAAAGGTATTGAGTTATTGAACTGCAGACAGAGAGAATATTGTTGGGGACGTGAGACGTTCGTTGTGAGTTATAGCGTTTGTTATACCGCGACTGTTGAAATTAAGTGTATCGCAAAGTTGTATTCAGAAAGAATAAACCAGTTTTATTTAAGAAATGACTTGTATCGGTAAAGTTTCTTCGGGAAGAAATTATACGGAAAATTAACTAACGAACGGAGGCGTAACAATAGAAACATCTAAAATAATAAACGTATAGTGTTAGCAGACGTTAATGTTAGTCTGCAACAACTACTTTCTGTCAAAATAATTTGAAGGATACAATAAAGATTACTATATTAGATGTGCTTCAGAAACCTCTAACAACAACAAAATATTCAAAAGCCCGAGTAAAATGGCATCAAGAGTATAAAAACTGGACCCAAGAATAATGAGAGAATGGGGATCAGACGAATCATATTTTACCATCAAATTGACGTGTGTATCGTACATTCCGGAATGTCTTGTTCGTCAGTTGAGCGTGGTGGAGACCGTGATGTTATGAACAGATTTATATTTGAATGGTTTAGTGACTATTGTCTCGCTGAAAGGAGATGTGAGAAAAATGACAACTTAAGTCTTATTGCAGACCAAGTTCACTCTATAATAAACACTTTAGTCCCGAACAGAACTGACCTGTTCCAGGAAGACGATGCGCAAGTTCATACCGCTGGAGTTAATCAGTTCTTCAGGAAGATAGTGCACCAGTTCATACCGCTGGAGTTAATCAGTTCTTC